TCTTGTTCGGAGGTATACCAGGTATCCCATTGTCCTTAGAATCATCGTTGACCATGTCGTCAAGTTCTAAATCGTCATCTTCTTCTTCTTCATCAATGACATCTACTTCTGCTTGTTCGGCCTTGAGAGGATCAACCACTTGTGACAGCTGAGGCTCTCGCAGCATAATGTACAACTCAATACAGTCGTACCCATAATACTCATGAATGGTAAACATATTCTGAGGGTACTCGTCATCTTGAACCTCAACCTTAAAAAATATTATTTGGTTGTCAACAAAAAAATCAAATTCTGATAAAAGATTTGTGTCACAGGACCTTGTCCAAGTTTAGCCTCCAATCGTTTTTTGAAATACAAGAAATTGGATATCCTGTTTAAACAAAATCGGATGTTCTCAGTGTCTCTAAACAAAAACCCAGAGGTGGGACAAATGTATGTCTCATCTTTGAAATGTGTACTGATCACATATTGTGGTGCAGATGCCATTGTGTTTGAATGTTTGAAGGTTTAGAGGTTTGAGAGTTTGAAGGTTTAAGTGTTTCAGTGTTTGAGTCTTTGAGTTGATTATTTGAATTTTTGAATGTTCGAGTGTTTGAGTGATTGAGTGTAGAAGTGTTTTGACAAATGTAGGATTAAATAGGTTGTACTAAATTTGAATAAAATAACAGTAAGCAACCTCTAATTCGCCAATTGGGATGTCCAATCGTATTACATGCATGTAGAGATGCCTTCCCCAAGGCTGTCAACTAGCCTACACCTACATTGAAACCCATGCCACCTTTAATACGCCAACAGGGATGGCGACACGTTTCAATTTTGTACTCATATGCCAAGTCAAATGGCGCCTCCTTATATGTCCAATCGTATTACATGCATGCAGAGATGCCTTCCCAAAGGCTCTCAACTAGCCTGCACCTACACTGCAACCCATGCCACCTCTAATTAGCCAACTGGGATGGAGACACCTTTCAATTTTGTACACATTCGCCAAGTCAAATGGCGCCTCCCTACATGTCCAATCATATTACATGCATGCAGAGATTCCTTCCCCAAGGCTGTCAACTAGCCTGCACCTACACTGCAACCCATGCCACCTCTAATTCACCAACTGGGATGGCGAAACCTTTCAATTTTGTACTCATTCTCCAAGTCAAATAGCGCCTCCCTACATGTCCAATCGTATTACATGCATGCAAAGATTCCTTCCCTAAGGCTGCTACCTAGCCTGCACCTACATTGCAATCCATGCCACCTCTAATTCTCCAACTAGGATGGTGACACCTTTCAATTTTGTACTCATTCTCCAAGTCAAATGGCACCTCCATACATGTCCAATCTTATTACATGCATGCAGATATTCCTTTCCCAAGGCTTCCACCTAGCCTGCACCTACACTGCAAGAGTGACACTTATCATGCATGCATGCACCCACCACCCACCTCATTTATTCACTTCGTGATAAAATTTTTCCTATAAATACAGAGCCTCACATACTTGTTTTATATCAACAATCATCTCACTCTCTTCTACAAACTCTTTCATTATCTCATACAATTTCAACTATGGCTCTTCTCACAATGGGCGATTCTCACAGAGACACAATGCACAACATTGCAGCGTTTGTAAGTTTTTATAAATTCTAAAATTTTCTTGTATACTTATAAATTTTTTATAATATTATTAATGATTTATACATCTTATGGACTCTTACACTTTTTATATTTTGAATTTAGGATACTAAAAGATTCAGAATTCGTTCACATAACTACATTGCTCCTGACCCGTTGATTGTGCCATATCTCAAATATGCGGGTTTCGGAAATGTTATAAAGATCTTCAACAGCCTGCTTGATTCAAAGTTCATACTTGAAATGTTGGAAAGGTGGAGACCTGAGACACACACATTTCATCTACCAATAGGTGAATGTACCGTCACACTAGAGGACGTGTACATGTTATTGGGTCTCCCTGTCGACGATAAGGCGGTTAACGGGTCGGTTCAACAACCCAATTCTCTGTGCAAGGAATTTTTGGGCAAGGATATGGTTGAATGTGGTGGTTCTAGAGGCTAATGTATACTACTTAATGAACTCAAAAGTCATTATGCGACTCTGGAATTGAACAAAAATTTCTCCGAGCTAGCTAAAGTAATAAAAGCTAGAAATTATATAATGATACTTTTTGGAACTTTTTTATTTCCTGAAAGTACGGGGAATAGTGTAAATTTCATGTATTTAAATTTACTTCGAAACTTTGAAAAAACTAGAAAGTATAGTTGGGATTCTGCTGTTTTATCCCATCTATATAGTTCCTTGTGAAAAAATTTAACCAAGGAAATATGTACTTTTTATGGATGCACTTTCTTACTTCATGCCTGGGGTTGGTGGAGAATGGAGTCCCTAAACCCCGTCAACAACAACGCATTCGTTTTCCCATATGCAACAAAGTAAGTCAATAAATAATACCATTTATTATTCATCTGTTCACCAAATATATGATAAAAATAAACTATTTTACAATTCCTTTAGGTACTGCGTGGCGAGTATGAATTACGGCAAGAATCTAAGATCCAGTGTCGCTCTATATCGCAATCTATTGGATCACCTTGGCCTAGATGATGTACGTCATACCTTTGAACTTTTATACTTTTAAATTATTTATTTATTACGTTTCCATTAAGGTGATTTAATTTTATCCACAGTTTATCTGGAGACCATATTTGGGTTTGGACTATGAATCAAACTCTGAGGATGCAACAATTTAGAGCGCAAAGACTTCAATCATACGGTTCAACATTATGGAGATGCACCACAACGACCGTGTCAAGATGCAGTTTGGAATGCATCAAGAGATACCCAGCGATCCAACTTATTTATCCTCGTGGCATCTCAAAAGGGTCGACGCCCAATGAGGTCTTACCAATTGGAAAGATTTTTCTCCATAATGGTGTAAGATGTGGCAGAGGCGTCACTGACATGTCTTGCAATTCCCAGTTTTCTTCAACCATGGTAATATGCGACACACAGATCAATATTTAGCTTGGTACATATCAGTTAGTAACCTAGAAATGCACGTGTCTAATCCAAGGTATTTGGTTGATCCACGAACACAACGGGCACAACCCTCATTTCCCCAACAACAAACCCAACACACATTAACCTCCCGCCAACCTCCCCGACGAAACAGATCCACAACCACCCAACCATAATCACCACCATAATACGAATACACCCACATGTCCCACAACCAACCACAATCACCACCTCAATACCAATACCCCCATATGCCCACACCCAACCACAATTTCAATCACAATACAATACACCCGCATTCCCCTCACACAATTCTAGTCTTCTCCATATTCCAATATGTGCCCCTCAACATCTAACCTTAGCCCTAATCTGGGATTTTCCGAAGAATATGACCTAACAGACCCAACTTACCATCAACCACCACATCACCAAAGCACCCAACATTTCCAATACCAAACACCCCAAGATTTATTTCCTTTCTACTCCCCTTACTCAGACGACCGGTGCTATAGGCCAACCATGGAACCCCACCCACCACCAAGACGACCAAACTTTGAGGGTATGGGTAACCGACTGTACCAAAGCGGATCTTCTAGATATGGAGATATTACCAATTTCATAGATCCGAAACGCATTGACTTCGCTGCGTCATCGACCCTGCCACAACAGGAAACGCGACGAAACCCAGCACGGGACATGCGAGGATGCAGATGCAAAACTGCAGGTCGTTACCGGGTTCCGGGGGACCACTAATTATTTTGTAATTTTTTTGTGTAATCGTTTTGTTATATAAAATAGTCGAATTTTCGTGATCCTATATCGTTTACGTAATGTCCTGCATTTAAAATAAAAAAACAAAAAAATTGGCCCCTCTATGCACTAAGGCGCCATCTCACTTGGTGGACACACTTTTAACACCTAGGCGTCAATTGAGATGACACATCCCCTTTAAATTAAGGTGTAGGCGCCAATTGAGGTGACTCATCCTTTGTGGAATTTTCTGAAACATGGTTATTTGCATAATTTTCTCCGAAACATGGTTATTTGTGAATTATTTTTTCAAAATCTAGTTATTGGAAAAAAAAAAAATTCGAGTTTAGTGGCTTTAATCTCCTATCATAGATTGTGTGATAGAAAAAGAAAGTGAATGGATTCTTAGATTTAAAAAAAAGACTCTAAATAGAAATTCATTATATTCATGTATTAAAAATTTAAGCAAAAATAAGGATGCATTCATGTATTATTATTTATTTTATAAACTCTAAACATTATTAAATAGAAATATTATATTTTCTTTAAAAAATAATATTTCTTCATAATGCCATTTTAATATAAAATATTATGCGAATTAAAAAAACCACAGTTAAAGAATAATATTGGAAAATGTTATATTTTATGAGTGAATATTACTTTTATATCTTACCAAATATATGATATATCATAAGAGTATAACTTACCAATAATGTATAATGAGTAAAATAAGGCCAGATATTTTTTAATATAATCTTAATGGACTTCTGTGTAACACCCTATATTTGTATTTATTCAATGTATTCACTTAAAAACATTATTATTTTTTAAAATGGGAAATGTTTTCAAGGGATATAATGCGTGATAAACTAGTTACATTGAAAAAACAAATTATCACGGTAATAAGATATTGAATTCCATATAAAAGCATTTTAGTATAAGGAAGTAGTTAGGAATCAATTTTAGTTTTAATGAGTAACGATTTATTTTATTTCTTTAGCAATTATGCTTTATAGGCATGGAATTTTGTCTCATCAAAAACGTATAGGAATTAACAACAATTTTTCAAATCTCCCATAAAATCAAATTCATTGCATCTAATTTTAATGGACTTGTCTACTCCCTGTCTCCCTCTCTCTTTTATTAATAGAGTTCATTTTGACACTAAATTTCATCAGCAAACTTCTATCTTACTCTAAATTTAATTTACTCACGAAAATGTTGTCTACACAAGCTTTGCTCATCCATGGCTTCTTGGTCATGATTGTTTTAATCTCTTCCATGGGGGAAGCTAGACAATTGAGTAAGAATTCCTCAATCTTTATAAATTATTATATCTTCATTTTGCTTTTTAATTTTGTGTCTACCATGTTTTTTCCAAGAAAACCATAATAATTTGAGTAATAAGATATCTTCACATCTGTGACTCTAATAGTTTTTTTTTATCAGGCACTTTTATTGTCTTATTTTATATATAGGAAATTCAAGTAAACATCTCATGCACCTACAAAGTTGTTGAGTGGTGCACAATTATATGTTATCATATGGCCAACAAAAATTGTGTTAATTATTCATAAACCACTAATTCCAATGTAAGTTTGATGAACAATATATGTAAATTTGAATTATTTTGGTTAATATTTTTGCAGTTGAGTTTAGAGATCAAGATGGGACCAACTTTAAATCTTTTATACCTGGCCTTCCAGACATACCTGAACTTCCACCACTATCAAACATTCTAGGCTTTCCAGGTTTCCCTTGCATCCCAGGAATACCAAGCATCCCAGGTATTCCATGCAACCCAAACATACCATTTCCAGGTTTTCCATGCATCCCAGGCATACCAAGCATCCCAGGTTTTCCATGCAATCCTAATTGGCCAAGTCCACCAAGTACACCTTCTGAATCTCCAAGCACACCTCCTAGTACACCTTCAGAATCTCCAAGTTCACCTCCTAATCCATATGACTCACCTGTTCAATCTCCCAGTTATCCTCCGGAATCCTCCTAGTTCACATCGGTTAATTTAAATCCTTAAAATTGAAATATTGCAAAAATAATATGGATTGTATCATTTGTAATATTTATTTGAGAAAAAATAACAATAAATTTGATTTAGTTATGAGAATGAATTACAAAAGCTTTTACTCCATTTATGCAAGCATAATATGTGAAATGTTATTTCTTCGTATCATACTTATCAAATAAAATCAAGTCTCGGATCTTTTAATTAAAATAAAAAGTAATAAGATTCTTGTATATTATAATTATAATTGTTATAAGTAATTTCATCCTTTAAATAAACCTAATATGGATAAAATAATCAGAGTAAAAAAGAGAGGAAGTGTGAAAGCTCGCCTTATCGTATATGAGTGAATAATGTTTTATAAAAACACATGGGTGTTTTAATAAAGTAACATGGATAAATCACACACTTATACAAACCTTTTTTAAACCTCTATTTCTCAAAGAAAAGAAAACCTAAAAATATTTTTAGAGCCTAGCTAGATGAGTCAGGAGCCGTGAGAATGATTTACACGGGTTTTTTGAATTGTCTAATCGATTTGAGCATATTTCCAAACAATTGGATAATTTCAAACAGTATCTACAATCGATTGTGACAATGTTTTAATAAATGACAACGAATATCTTTTAAAACCTTCCAAAATAGGCATTTGTAATCGATTGTTTTAGTTCATCCAATCGATTGGTTGTAGGACCCAATTGATTGGGAAATTAAATTCTCCCATGGTTCTTTGAGAAAGTCTTAGTGTTTAAGTGAGGAATTTTTGTTCTATAAAGCATAACTTTGTAAATTTCACCAAGAGCTATTTTTTATTGGTTGAATAATTCTTCTTAAGAAAGTGTTTGTTTGGGTTCAAATCTAGACCCGATAAAATCTTGGTTTGGAGATTTAGTATTCAGCCGTCGATTTATTTTATGATCTAAGCCCATGTAAAATATCAAATTTGTTAGAGATAAGTCTATGTAAAATTTCAATTTGATTCTTGGTCAACCTGTGAAAAACCTTGTTTCAGTTCGTGTAAGTTAGTGTAAAACCATCACTCCAGTTTGCATGATAACTAGTTTAAAACTACACATTTGTTTAAGATTAACCTATGTAAAATCTCAGAGTTTAAGCTTAGATACTAAGTACTTAAAGCTTTGTTCATGTTTAGAAGGAAGAGTAACCACTTCAGTTTGTTATTCGTTATTTGGGTGAAAGTTAACATGAAAGTTTGTTTTCCCTATATACGGTGGTTCATGAGTTTAACCTACTAAAAGCTCATAAATATTACTGAATATTCTTAAGATCAAATCTTAGGGATTTAATTAGGTCACTTCGTTTTGGTGTCATCTCTTTTCCCTTATCTCGTAACTTTTCGGATAATTTCTTTCTACTGCTATTATTTAGACATTATTCTTAAAAATATTTTTAAACTATGAAACTGAAAATAACTATATTATAAACCATCATTTTTAAAACCCAAAAAGTATACCCACCTCTTGTGTATGGAGTCACAGTTTGGTTCACTTAAGAGATTAAACGCAAAAAATTTCAAGGAAAATTTATATAGAAAAATATATCAAAAAGTTTTTGTGACTGAAACTTAGATGTTTGAATGTTGACAAATTGAACATAAAATCTATTTGAAATAAACTTTGAATGAATATAATAGGAAAATAGCATTATAAAAATTATTAAAGTAAATGCTTTGATTGCAAAAGACCTAAAGAAAATAAAAGAGAAGGCGAATAATCATACATTTTCTCACAAACTGTTTCTCTTTGTGACTTGGATATTTTAGTTTTATAATGAATACTTGATGAATTTCATGACCTATGATCACAATAATGAGATCAACTTAATACTAATACAATATTAATCATCGACAACGGGTATTGTTTGAACAAAATTGGTTTTTACCATATCACTTGGGTTTTGATGATAACAAAGTATTTGAAAAAAAATTGGGTAGAGTAGTGTGTGTTCAAGTGCACAAGTACAAAGATCAATATACTGATCGAAAGTCAGTTCTAAATTTTCCTAAACATTGAAAGAGAAGCTTTTCAGAAAATTATGAAGATCAAATTTTGAAGAAGATCAGAATATGATGTCTCTAGACTCTGAACAAGCCAGCCTCTGATGAGTTAGAGTTTGAAGGATCAGAAGCCAAGTTTCAGACTTTGAAGGACCAAAACTTGAACCAAGTCAAATCTCAAGAATCAAGGAAGTTCTGACACGTCGTTATAAAATATATGGTTACTTCGTCCTGTTCTAGTCACATGATAAATAAGAAGAAAGTTGCAGAAGGTTTGCAACTGATAATTCCTTTTGTAGCATTGGAAGTTCAAATGAGGTTGCAACGACATTATCCATTTGAGGAAGCCTTACAACAATTTTTTGATGCTTCTCTACAATTTCTTTATTGTGCTTGAAGAACTCTCCAATGAATCTTTCATGGAACTCTATAAAAAGAGCTAAAGTTTTGGAGAAAGACACAAAATTGTGCCTTGACAAGAAAAAGAGAAGTTACTCTGTCAAAACAAAGAGCATAAACTAACTTAGAACTTTTTACCATTGTATATTCTTAGAAGTTCTTAAGTCTTAGAGTTTTCTATGTTGTAATATGTTTATACCTCTGATTGTATATCAAGTGTGACTATCACTCCACCACTATCATTTATCTTTTAGATAGATTTTTAGAAGTCTCTTGCATATGTGTTTGAGCATTTTTTAAATCTCTTGCTTGTTTTCTTGAGCAATTAGAAGCCTCTTGCTTGTGTGCTTGAGCATTGGAGTCCCTTACTTGTGTGTTATGGAATTAGAAGTCTCTTGCGTGTGTGCTTGAGCAACTTGTAATTAAATTTAGTTATAGTGGAAATCTATTAGAAGTGCAAGGGGACTGGACAAATCCTGTTTGTAGTAGGAACCATGATAAATTGCTTGTGTGTTGTCTCTATTCTTTACTTCTAACTTAGATTATTTCGCTTCTATTTATCATACTCTGAATCATATTCTAAATCATATTCTGAATCATATTCTGATCATTACAATCAAAATATGATTATAGATCTTAAGAAAAAGCATAAAATATTAACACAATTCAACCCATTTCTTATGTTTTTCTCACCTTCAGTTGGTGTCAGAGCACAGTCTGCGCATCAACATTTAACATTGGTACATAAAAGATATTGATAAAAACAATATGGTTGAATCTGATTCTGAAACCTCTTGTCCTACTTTTAGAGTTGTGCCTTTTGATTATAGTGCCTCTAAAAAGAATACCTATATGTTTAAACCTTCTACTTTCATTTGAAATTCTACCAATTTTGAGTGTTGGAAAAACAAGATGTATACTCACATCATAGGTCTTGATGTTGAGTTATGGGAGATTCTTGAAGATGTAATTGATTGTGCTGTTGATGAAGTAGGTATGGTGACTGATAGAAAAAGCATCACACCTGCTCAGAAAAAGACTTACAAAAGGCATCACAGAGTAAGAGGAATCTTGATGGATGCTCTACCTCACTTTGAGTATCACAAGATTCTTAACAAGTTTATTGCCAAAACCATCTTTGAATCTCTTTGTGCTTTCTATGAAGGCAATCAGCAAGTGAAATATGCTAAGGTAAATCTTTTGGTCCAACAGTATGAAGGGTTCATAATGAAGGAATATGATGACATTTCAAGTTATTGTGTCTGGACTTCATGTTTTGAACATGAGCTACACTACAACAGATCAAGTCAAGAATATTCTTAGGAGTATTCCTGTCATATATAGACCAATGATAACTTCCATACAAGAAGCCACAGATTTGAAAAAAATCAGTCTGTAACGTTTGATCAGTAATAGCCAAAGCCATGAGATAAAGCTTATTGGAGATGAACCAACTAAGAAGTTAAAATTCAGGCACTGTAATAACAGAAGTTAAGACTGATGTCTCAATAATATACAATGTCACAACAAATGTTATAACATCTGTTGACAGTAAAATAGACTTGCTAAAAATAGAAGATTAAGCAGAAAATAAATTTGCAGAAATTTAAAGAACACAATATATTGTTAACCTAGTTTGGTAAAACTTCACCTACTCTGGGGGCTACCAAGCCAAGAAGGAAATCCACTATCATTAGTATCAATTCGAAGCTAAATAGTCTCAACTTACACTCCTCACTTAGTCCCTACCCAGTGCAACTTCTACCTAGGAACCTCCTAGATATGAGAATCCCCCTCACTCCCAATAACCTCAGTGATATCAAACAATTCCAATCACATGGAGTGTCTCAGCCAACCAAAAAGAAGATTACTCGTCCAATAAACAATACTTAGCTTGCTTAAAAGCTTCACTAAGAACAATACTCAACTTTTTGCTTAAAAGCTTAGAGGAGAACAATAACTTGATAAATAAATAACAATCAGTCAACTTAAATGCATCAAAAGATACATGAGGACATACAAAAATAGACTGAGAAACTAAGGAACTCCCAAAACCCTAAACCCTTATTTGCACACGGTTTTCCAATAAAAACTATGCTTCAAAAAACTTGGTCTAGTAAGACTCCTTAAATAGACTTCTGCAGTTGGGCTTGGACTGACTTAGACTCTTCAATCAAATCTAATCTTCACTTATAAAACCCTGCAAAATCTTCTCCATAATAATAGGACCAAATTTTCAATAGTTTCCTAAAAATTCTCAAAGATCCTTTTTATGAAACAAATCAAATCTGCACATGTTCGTAAAATATCATTGATTGCCTGCATATGTATGAGTAATATAATCTTCCAGAAACTCATATTTTTTGATTAAATCTTCAAGGTTACATACCAGCTGTGATGTCAAGATGTTCTGTTGTAACATGTTACAACATCTGATATAACATCTGTTAAATAAGTACCAGCAAACTCTGATGAACAAGCTGGTCAAGATGTTCTGACATCTTGTTCAACATTAGGCTGCAATACATATTTTCCAAATGAAACATGTTTTGATAAAACTCTTGCCAAG